GAGAGAGAGAGAGAAAGGTGAATTATTTAGTAAAAGTCGAAGTTTGGGGCACAAAAGCGAGGAAATTCTCCGGGATTGAAGTGATCCGAAGGATCCTAAAGATCGTGATAATGAAGAGCGCGGCGGTGAACCCGAGAAAGCTCCCCTCCCCATCCCCTCCCTATTCAGATATTTTCCAAATACCGAGGCCGGTGTTCCCTTTCGAGTGCGTCTCATCAACTCGCGGCAAGGTATTTAACAACACGCGGGATAAAACGAATAAAGGAGGGCCGGAATCGTCGACTTACCCTTTCCTCCACTTCCCGAGCCCTCGATTCCGATGGAATCATCGGCCGTGGATAATGAAAGTGTGTCAACTCGCGTCGACGATTCCAACGGAGAACAAAAAAAAAAAAAGAAAAAAGAAAAAGAAGAGGAAAGGAAAGGAACGGGGAGAGAAATTCGAGAGAGTGAATTTTCATCTGAGAGAGAAGGAGAGGCGTGGCGAAAGAGGCCGCAAATCCGTGCCACGACGGCCAGGCGAAACAATAAATTCCGTGCGCTGCTCGATATTTCACCGTGCGATATGCAAAAGCCGTGAGTAATATCCGCTGTTCGTGAGAGCATTTTTCCTCCTCTCCCCTTTCTCTATACCTGCCGTAAATGAACCCAACGATCGCGAGAGGACCTATCGAAATAATTTACGCGCATTTTCCAGATCGCGATAACAACGCGCGGCGTATCCGATTTCCCCGATTTCTTCGATCAGAAAAGACGGATCAGATGGCGACTAGAGACGACTAGCAGGGGAGGCGCAACTTTTACGAGCGTCTACGACCATCCGATTTACGACAACCCCTATTTATCTGGGGAGAGATGCACCCACCCCATTCTTATTACGTGCTCGAGAATTTATATAGATATGGCGGTGAATCCACGATTGGAGTCGGTGATGACACCGGAGGGATCGTTCTTTTGATTCGACTCCGTTTGAATCGGATCGTGCATTGTGAAAATCTGGGTTAGGTCGTTCCGAGTGGCCACCGTGGACGGGGGGGGGGGGAAGAGGAAGAATGATCTCGTTGGAAGGAGAACGGGGGGAAGGGGAGTGGAGAAGAGTATCGTTGTCGGAAATCGTTTCTCGTTCCAAAAAAAAAAAAAAAAGAAGAAGAAGAAGAAGAAGACGATTCTTAAGGGACGTTGAAAACGATGTCGCCAGGACTAATAGGTTGCAACTGGGAATAGATAAATAACCGAGGAAGGTTAATCAGACTTTTGCTCGCGTCGAGAATCGAGAAAAAAGGTCCGAATCTTCGTGGATCTTAATTGTTTCGCGATTCTTTCTTTCTCGTTTCTCTTTCACGCGTGGATATTCGATGGAGTCCCTCGAGATCTCCTCCTTAACCATATTTAGAAGAAGACCGGTGTATTGTCCGGATAAAATTTGGAGCGCAGAAACGTTTCTCCAATTCTCCGGTTAATGAAATAATTTAGAAAGTTCGTCGATTGTATTCTTACGGGAAATTATTCGGACGTTTCGTTGCGGCAACAACCCGTGTCGCGCAATCGGTGCGTCCCAATTTGAACTGCAATTGCAGCCACCGCTATTTTCCAAAAGGTTTCGCACCCCCCCAGGAACCTTTCGCCAAATCCAAACACCGGTTGTCGGGCTATCTCGGCCATCTCTCCGACGTTGAAATTTAACAAAACGATACTTCGCGTGATCGTTCCACTGTGAAGAAACGCGCTAATTACACGCCAACCTCGTGTAGAACTGGAGAGAGAGAGAGAAAGAGAGAATAGTATCGCTAAATTGCACCCGGAAAATGTTCGTCAAAATTCGTGCGCGCGTGGATCTAGCCTCGAACGGATAAATCACGCAACTTCACGAAGGGAAGGAAGATAATCAAGGCACGTGGCAAAAATTTTCCATTTGCCAGCAGAATAAACGTTGCGCGGATTCTTCCTCGAACGATCTCGCACTCGATCGTGCAAATTTCGATATTCGTCTCGGTGAGAAAACGAAAGAAGGAAAGGGAGAAGAGAAGGGAGGATGGAATATCTTGGTCGATCGAGAAGTACAGAAGTCGTTTTGGTCCCCGTTTTTGACCGATACCTAACACGAAATGCCCGATGTATATATAATAAAATATAGCAACGAAAGGGGAGGCGAGAGATCCGATTTCAGAAACGCGTCGGTGTTAAATTTAAGTTGCCTTAGCCTTTGTTAATTATACTTTTGTGCGCGGTGACGTGGAGGCGGGCGCTGAAAATACAATTTCATCAGGGCGGAAGGGAAGGGTAGGATTTTAGCAGCATAAAATATCCTGGCCACCGATGTAATTTACATCCGGAACGAGGTCTCCTCTCTCTCGTCCCTGACTGCGATGCGTGTAACCTGGTTCGCGATACATCGTGGCTCGTAAAATCGGTCGAGCGTCAAAACGTTCTCGAGCATCTTGGCCAAAATCGAATCGAGGTGGAAAGCGTGGGGAGAGGAAACGAGGCCACGATACCACTCCCTCCTCTCGATTTTAAGGGCGTGCTTGGTTGCCAATGGGCCGCGCCATCGGTATAACGAGGTCTCGAATTAAAGCATCGAGTAGCGATTGATCGGCAACGACACCGCGTGCAAACGTTCTTTACGTTTTCCAATAAGCTTGCCTGGCCCTGACCGAGATCCCGCCCCGTTCGATTCCTCGAATCGCCTTCGTCTCGTCCGCTCGTCTCGTAATTTCGTGCGAGAATTGTGTTTTCTTTTGGAAGAGGTGTTACGGAAGGTGTTATCGTTGCACGAAAAATAAGAGAATCTCTTTCCTTCTCTTTTCTTTCCTTTTTCTTCTTTTTTCGGAAAAAGAGAGTTTGGAAATTTGTCGAGTGGACTTGGCTAACTTCCATCCGAATAAACGGGTGACAAAAGGGAACGTTCCCGCGTCAGGGACGCGAGGAAAATAAGTCGAAAGAACAAAAAACGATTTTTTGTTCTTTCTTCCTTTCATTCTTTCTTTTTGAGAGGAGAGGAAGCGAAATTTTTGAAATTTGTCCAGAATACGCGCGCGCCTGGTTGAAATTGCGTATAAGAGAGGCAAATCGAGTATAAGCATATATCTCGAAACGTGTATAGGTTAACTTTAATTTAGTTGAAAAGGGTAGAATTGCTACGTTGCTAGCAACGTTACCTGATATCTTAATACAGAACAGGTCTACGAGCAGATGTGTGGATGGAATAGCTTGCTCCATCTTGATCCCGTCGTCATGGAATCCCTGCATCGTTCGTTAACCCCTTGACACCGAATGACATTTCTAGCACGTCATGCGTTCCTCGTGTTAAAGTGGTCACTAACGTTCCAGGAACATCGGCCGATTATTAACCAAAATGATACGCCGATACGCCAGAAGAATATCTTCAATTAAATTTAATTCCTACGAAATTCGATCGCAACAAAATGAATTAAAGAAAGAAATATATAATAATTTGTCATAATCTTGTTTTTGCAATTAACTTGTTGATGTTTATATTATTTATATGTACGCACATAACAAATTTGCCTATTTAAATTTTCAATAAATTATTTTATACTCTGTTTGCTACTCGTTTTGATATTTAAACGTAAACCAAGCGTGTTTATGGCAAACTGAAATAGATTAAAATTTAACATTTACGTCGACCAAGAGAGAGAGAGAGAGAGAGAGAAAATGTTTCTATAACGAAATGAAATTCACGTTTAATTAAAAGGAATTAACAATTAACGAACATGCGAAAAGATCGGAAAATCTTAATTTTAAATACAAGAGAATTTCCATCGCGTTTAAAAAAAGAAAATGATTGGAAGGAACAATTCAACACGAAAGAACATTATCGCTTTTGCGATGAAAACAAGAATGCGTTAAAGCTTGTGTAAACGAACAAAAAAGTATTGGCACAATTTCTTAATATCTCGATTTTTATTCCACTTCCCTTCGGAACAACGACGATCCTTTCAACGAAAAATCCTTCTTCCTTCACTCCATTCCGTTCGATCGTAGCTTCGTAATTGAACGTTTCTCGTTTTGCCACGAAAGAATTGTAAAAACCTCGTCGTGGTCCTTTAAAAACCTTTAAAGTCCTTGAAAATGTAATAGGAAATAGAAATATTCAGGATTGTTTCGACGAGGAATTAATTAATCAAATGTTTTCAAAGATAATCCGAAAGCCGGTATGCACATTGTTCCACGGTACTTAATGCGTCGAGTGTAATTTCATCGGCAAACAGCAAGACCCGAACTGCTTAAATCAGTTTGATTGCCTCTTTGATACAGCGCATCACTCTAATGGGATTCTAAGGTGTTAATAGCGCTCTGTCCTTACGCTTCTGCAAACATAATCAGCCTTGCAGCCGGAAAGCTGTTCTAATACACGTTAAAGTTTATCGATCCGTGTCTCGCGACGCGTTCGTTCCTCCACTCGATGCGGAAAATATCGATAAAATCGTCATCGATTGCGAATGCATTCGACGCGCTCTTTTTCTCTTTGATCTAGACTAAAAAAAAAAAAAAAACAGAAAACAAAAGAAAACGAATATATACAGAAATTCATCTCGCTTGTTATTCTCACCTCGCTTGATTTAGAGAACGGCTAATCCTCTCTTTTTCATTCCATTTCTCCTTGGAAGGGGTTAAAAATATCTGTCAGAGAAAGAAATTCCATCCATTTAACGATAATACGAAAATTGACTCGACTTATATTCACGACAGATCACGATTGAAAAAAGCCACTTGCCTTTTTCCAACGTCTTCTTCGTTCGCGCGATACAACGTTCGATCGTTCCATCTTTCGAAAAGTCGAAAGAACGAAAAGCTCGATCCGGATATAGGAGTGGGGGGAAGAGAAGAACATCGATAGCTGGCATTTTCATAGATGGGCGCGTGACGGGGTCGGGAATGGTCGTTGGACAAGCTTAAGCAAGCTCAACGAGCGACCAACACTCACGAACGGCTTTATCGTAATATATGCATTAGCGGTTTTATCGGAACAACGGCGAAAATTACAACGCGCCTGCTTTATTTAATCGTTAATTCGGCCTCGATGGTGTCGCCACCATTCCAAACGATCGAAAAAAAAAAAACGGAGGGAATTTATTTTTAACCAAGCTTACGCTGTGAAAAACGGCCTTTTTACCCGGGAATATAATTAAACGAGCAACTTTTGCGGGCAAATAAAACGGGGATCGAGATCGTGGAATGTAGGAAAGGCGGAGCGTATACGAGCAGGATGAATCGTTGAAGGGACGAAATTAGTTGGACGAGTGGCAGGCAGCAAATGCTGCGATGAAAATTATAATAATATCGTGTTTAGTTTTATTGGACAAGTTGAAGGATGTTATTGTTATCGTAGATTTTGATACGAGTGAATTGTTGATCAACAATTGTGGTGATGATACAGCGCGAAACGAGTGTCGAGATTAAAGTAAGGTATAGTTGGAAAATATTATAATACAATTAGAGGATAATTGAACGATAACGCGCGTCTATCTCATTTAGAAGCAAGATAATTTAATTATCAAATAATTGGACGGATCTCGTTTAATATTATTAATAATATATATCGTGAAAATTTATCTTCGATCGACGCGAATTTGTATAATTGTCGCGATACGCGTAATTCGGACGATTAATCGGACGTTCATTTTGCAAATGGAGAAACGATATAACACTCGTGGTCGAGAAAGATTTCAATAAATAAATGCGTGCCAATATGGGGGATCAAATTTGTTCGAGTAAATAAGACGGATCGGAATGAAGAAACAAATACGATGGTGGGTGGGTAGGTGTACTGTATTTCGTTTCGCGAGCACAAGTTTGCCATGCAAACAAGATGAGATCGAAATAGCGGGGCGAAAACGTGGGTGGAGCAA